GTCACAATAAATATGGATTCTATAATGCTGGAATTGTTAATATTTTGTGGCGGAATGTTTTAGAAGTTTTCAGTATTGTTACGTTTGGATTCCTATTTTTACGTACAGGCAGGCTGCACACAGATAAATTTTGTGTAGTGAAATGTTAGTCCTATATCATACATAACATTTCTAATGAATTCAATCATTATATTTGGCAAAAATATGAAATATATCATTTAAGTCATTGAAGAAAAATTTGGATTACCTAAAGTTGGACTCTTATTGTGTGTATGCAACATACACAAAGAGTAATTTTGTGTAGTGAAATGTTCTATGCTGGTCCTAAATACTATATTAAATAAACTTTCATGAATTCTATCAACATATTTGCCAAAAATAGTCCAATTTAAGCTTATAATTAGCATTGTTTTAGTAATTAACATCACACACCCCAACTTTTTATATGAATTTTTGAATAAATAATATAATTTGTACCACTCTGCTTGAATTTAAAAAAAGATGTCATTATTTTCAAAGGATTTTATTGCTTTGAAAACTTTGAACACCGGGAAATTAACATCTTTTGAGTGCAGAAAGGTCAAATAATTGACTATGCGAGGTAATTTGAAACTATTTTGGTTGTCACAATTTAAATGTGATTTTTAAGATGAAAAAAAAGCCTGTGTTTCGTCAAAAAAAATCATTTGGATAGAAAATATAAAAGGAAATCCTTTGAAAAAATTGAATTATATGTTAGACGTGATTACAGTGCAAAATGGTAATTTTAATTGCTCCATAGAGCTTAAAGATGCACACACACCTATTTGTTTGCTTTTATTTTTTTATTAAGCTACATGTTGGTGTGTAGATTCTAAAAATATACTTCACAAAAATTTCTCAACACTTTTAATAACAGGAACCAACCTGCTGAATATTCTCTTTAAAATAAATAAAAACGTCCGTCCGTAACATTTTTATCCAATACCTGGATGTTTTAAGGAAAGATTTTAGAGTATGGTCCTTCGTATACTGGAATCTGGTAGTGCCTATGGCAGGCTAAAGTGGAAAAGAATAGCTTGAACAAATAGGAACCATACCTGTCCAGCTGTATTCGATGTTGATCATATTGCTTGGTTGGGGGACGTTATTTCTGAGGTATGACCGCCTAACAGGAAGAAACCGGTATCAGCTGTAACTTTACATCTACCGGAGCAGTAGGTTGTGGTTTTACCATTCAGCTTTAATACTGTATGTTAGCATATTTCAGTTTGCAGAGATGCATCTCAGTATAAAAAAAATAATATTGATATCTTGAAATTCTTACTTTGACAAAAAAAACCTGAAGATCATATACAGTTTTTCCAATAATTTTATCTGAAGATGAAATATATGAAGATTAGTGACAAATCTACGTGATACATGGTTGCACTTTGAACTTTTTCAATATATGAAGGTTGATCAAAAAGTTCGCGAACTATCTCTATATTTACAAAACCATGATTTAGATAAGAATGAAATTTGACACACATAGAGTCATACACATGTTCTATAAATAGCATATGAGATGGAGCGTTTTGCCCCGTGTTTGAGACGTCACAATGTGAAAATGACGTTATAAGGTAGATCACTTGTGACAAAGAATGGTTGACTCAGTAGTATTCGAGAAACGGAAGGCTGTAAAGTTAAACGTATATCTTGGAAATTCCTTCGTAGAAGTTTATAATAATTTTTACATGGTCTATGAAAACAAAAGACTAGCCAGAAGTGTTGCCATTAATTGGATTGATTGATTAAGTAAAGAAAGGGTTTAAAAATGATGTTTGTTATGTTGACCAGTGAAAGCAAACTAGGAAAGCGACGTGTCCTTCGTTAAGCAATTTGATATGAAAGATCGCCAACTTACAGTTAGAAAAATAGATGAATATCTTTGCAATACTTTAACTATCAAATCCCCAAAATATTGTTTAATTTAGACTTTAAACATATCAGATATGATAAACTGAAGGCACCCATACTTTATCCACATGAATAAATGACGCTCAAAAGACAGAGGACTTGGTGTTTGATGTTTATCCTGCTCATTCTGCAAAAGGATATCATTATCCACCCATACTATTGCCGATATAGGGCCATTTCTGACAATTGGACTGTTTTTGTTGCCAAAAATAACTTGCATGGTAAAAAATATGAGTCCGAAAAAAGTTTAAGCTTCTGTGAAAAAACGATAAGGAGCATGTCACGTGACGGCCTATATCACGTGATCCGCGCATAGGCCGAATGGTTGCAGATGCGTATTAAGATTAAGATTGGAGAGAACTACATGTACATTGAAACATTTTCAACACTGACACCCTTTATCATTTCTTTTTTGGAAGTAATTAAATTAGTTCGTGAACTTTTTGATCACCCCTCGTATATGTATTGATAAAAGATTTTAATTATTTTGTTTGCTTACAATAAATACGATTTTCTTTTTGCGGAAATCTCTTCTATTAATAATTACTAGGGTTGTCCCAGGAAAACGCGAATATGTTCAATATCTTTGTTTCACTAGGACTATCAAGGTAAACATTGGCATACATCTTGATCAGCATTTTTTGATAATGCCTAAAATATCAACAAAAAATCTCTATAAGTAACATTTTCCTCTCAAGTAATAGAAACTAACAAATCAGTTGTCAACGCAACACTAACGACGTCAACACGTAGCTCGTTGTGTTCTTGAATTTGTTCTGGAAACTGTGCCTCTAATTGAGTTAAAAAGATTTCGGGGTTATTTTTTATAGACAATTTCACAATTCCAATCATAAACCTAACTGATCGAACTGTTTTACAGCGGTATTCACGTACTGTAGGCCTATAACGTCCTGCTCCCGTCTTTTTAGATCGTCTTTATCTTAGTTGTCTACTCTCTTCTATCAGAATAACCAGTCAGGTCAACCTGAAACCCCCTTCAACTAGAGATAACTTCTTTCCCCGTAATTATGTTCTGTTTTTGCATCCTTAATATCTCTTGTCCCCACTCAGAATGTACAGGAGTCATATTCCGCTCAACATTGCGTTCCTTTATAATTTGGTGCTCCACATTACCACCAAATGTCCTCATTTTTGACAATGTCTAAATTAAAGTGCTTTGACACATATCGTCATATATTTGTCAATAATGATGTCAAAAACTTGAATTTTTATACATGAGTTCCCCAAATTATAGAGTATTTGTGTTCGGTAAATTTTGTGATATTACATTACAGTATAGTCTGATAAAAATATGAAAACTTCAATGACAATGCTATTTATAAAAGTCGAAAAACTCGTGCATCGACCACCTATACTTAACACTCTTAAAATGCTGATGATATATGCATAAAACATTACAAGCCTGTTTTGGCAAAATAACAAATTAAAAATGCAATCCACCTGTATGTAAAAAATCATTATTTGATTAAGTAGTATTTGAAACATTCAGTTTGCGTTTTTCTGGGACAGAGCTCGTATCATCGATTCAAAAAGTTTTATTTTGGACTGATAATATCTGAATCCCCTTGACTACACGTAGTTTAGGGTAACAAAAACCAAAAAAAAAGAAGAGTTTACTTTCAAATTTAAACTATTGAAAAAAAATTACATTATTATATTCTTCTTAAGAACAGTAAGCCATGGTTGGTGATATCCCTTTGAAGAACGACCAATGTCTTATTACATTTTTTTCTCCATAAATATGTGAAAAAAATACGGGGTCCATTTACAAAACAATGAAGAAATACAATTTTTTACTATGCGGTCATTGGATTCACAGAGCAATCGCTCGACGTTAGGTGACGTGACAGACCTATGCCAGATCTAAATCTTAAAACCTTTCATTCCATAGCCTTATCGTATTTTTCCAAACTTAACATTAGCTATGTATATCAAGGTATGTTAATATTATGTGTAAATGTATACTTTTAGATGTCTTTTTGGCTTATTGGACATAACTGGGATCTACGAAGTTCAGCGTTGGGCTATGAGGTAGGAAAACCAATACAATATCCAAGGATGTGGATCGTTCATTCGATAAACACGATACCAGAAGAACCTTGGTATCGCAGGTATTCATTAATTGTATGTTTTTTACGTCTCATTCGAGAATTTTTCATTCATGTATAGACTTCACCATACACCGGTGAAGATCTTCAAATGTTTACCATTTTTTTTGCACTCAGGGCCATTGAGCAGTGCTGAATCTTTTTCGTGCCAACGCCTTTCGTGACACGGAACCTCATCCGAGGGAACAGTTACTTTCACTTCAAGTGCCGAGCGCAAGGCGAAGGAACAAATGCTTCCAATGTTTTATAGGTACGTCGCAGCAGAGATACGAATTCATGACCTACCGATCATTAGTCATGGTATCTGAGGAGTTGATAATAAAAAATGTCAATCCTTAACAATTCTTACAAGGTTGCTAACTTTGTGGTATTATATATATGCGTGTAGGTTATCCCCAGATGCATCTAAAATATTTTAGTCTCGTTCGGATTTTTTTGTCCTGTCTTCAGTCTTATCATTTTAATAGTTCGCTGTTCAAGGCATTCAGTGACGCTAACATTTTAGCTTTCTTTTTAAGCATTGATCATTTCTAGAGATACGTCGAATATGTAGCAATAATTCAGTCATAATTCCTTCATTTAATTTAAGTTTTCGCCAAATGACGTATCATAAATTCAAGCGTACATGTATTTAGTTTTTCCCCCGTTTTCTTGTTCAAAGAACGATATGGAGATAACGAACAGTTTTCAATAACAAAGTCCATAAAAAAATACAAAATTGGAGCAGAGCAAACACGGACTTCCGAAACATCAGAGGTGGGATCAGGTGCCATGGAGGAGTGAGCATCCCCTGCTGACCGGTGTGCTCCTTGTCATGATCGGGAAATAACGAACAAATCCGTCGTCAATTCAGTTAAGATCAAATGGATAGTATTAATCAATAGAAATAAAATATAAGCTCTCAAATGTCTTTCCTCTAGTAAGGTATTCAATATATTTTCTTAAGAAGGTACGCACATGTAAACTTACTCCAACTCCTATTAGTTTTACGAACATATTTGAAAACAATAATTTTTATCTTCAACTCGCATACTTCTCAATATAAGGAGCTTTCTCAGTACAATTAAAACAACATAAGATTTAAAATTATAATTAACAGTCTAAGCAGGTTCAAGCATAATGAGTTTTTAATTTAGCAAACAAGTCAACGCTTAAGCTCTGAATAATCATAATTTGAATTTTGTAAGTGCATTCCTGTGCCTGCGTGGTCGTTAGTATTTTCTGTATCTTTGTTTTCCATGTGATGTGCCACATCATAATCTGATGAGCTATCCAACTGATTCGGAGACGTATGCCAATAGGTATCTTCTGCAATATTACTTCTGGAGGGGGAGTTTCTTAGATGATCATAGTTTTCTTCCTCTGTTTCTCTATGAAAACTACTATGTCTTGTTGTTTCATCATAATTGTCTAAGTCTGTAGCTTTCCTTCTGCTGTTTTTATTTCCTAGGTGATCATATTCTCCCTCCTTGGTTTCTATATATGGATTTTCTGTCGGCGGAGTATCATTTTTGCATTCTTCATAGGAGCATTTAGGTTCAAGAATAAAGTAACTGCTGTTGCTAAAATTGCTCTTTTCATGATAAACGCGTTCATTTTCTTTCTGATTTGCTGCTAAATTGCTTCCCGGCTTTTCTGGCACAGGTCCTTTACCTTTCGTTGTTTTCCTTTGTCTCCTGAAAATCAACATAGTTTTTCTTCTTCATCATAACAATGATGAATATGAACATAAAAAGGATTGTAAATAAACAATCCAAATTCATTTAGCTTAAATCAGTTCAGTTGTTATTAATTCATATATACTTTATCATAAAAAGTTTTGTGATAATTGTATCCCCAGCCCCCAAATATTAAAATATAGAAAGAAACAAACCAGCAAATGAATCCTATTCCACCAAGAATTGTGCCAAGAAGGATGATAATAACAGGAACAACAATTGCTGATATCTCTGAATAAAAGTTTAATAAAAATAGAATAAGATAAGAACGAATAAAGAACTGTACTGTAAATCATAATTCTGTTGTTCAACTATTAGATTCGATGAAACGATAAGTTTAAATCAATGAATTATGGGTTTTATATATAAAATAAAATGTTGACGAAAACGTGTTGAGTTTTAAAACTGGTTTCGAGCATACCAATTGTTTTATTTGGTTCAAAGATCTCCAATAATAATGTCCTTTGCCTTAAGTACTTAAATCTATCGACTCTCTTTAAAATTGAAGAACATTGCAAATTTCTTATACCGTGTAGCCTGGAATTTCAGAAGAAAATTCTTATAGAAAAAAATGTTTTTTTTAAATGTTTAAAGTGTACTAAGTTTGATGATTGATTTGAACATATTTTATTGTAATGTAATTACAAAGGGATTGAGCAGTTTGTTATGAAAATTAGTTATAAAATTGATATATTCTCAGGGTTAGACTACTTTCTGCATATTAAAAAATTACACTGTAGGTATTTACAAATAATTTATTTAAGTATTAAATAGTTACAGCATGAATTTTAACGTTCCGCATATCTGACATTTTATAAGTTAAACATATTGTGGGCTGATGATATACTTTAAAATCCTTATGAAAATGGCACAGGTGTACCTTGCTGATCAAAACAATTATTTTAAATCTCAAAATACCATCAGATGAAATTCCCGACAAACTCGACTGACCTGGTCCAATGGTTTTCTTTTCTACGGGATTCAACGTGCCATTTTGAAGATGATCAGCTGTATCTGTTGTTGTTGATATTTCCTCTAGATTTGTGGTTGCTTTTGTTGACTGTGCTGTACTTGTTCTCCCTGTTGTTGTTGATGTGGGAGAAATTGTTACAGTGGAAAAGTTCATCTGAATTGAAAAAGGTTTAAAGGATCATTATATATGATCAAAGAGAAACCTTTTCTGTAAGTCACCGCTTGTTGTCTGGTTTGATGCGTTCCAAATGCCCTTCCGTCTATCAGTTCACGGTTCACGTTCAGTGATTATCATAAATGATTTCTTATTATAATATATATTGAATAATTATTCAATATAAAATTATAAAATAATATGTGGAAATATCTATTCAGATGCTTATATGTATTTTTGGTGCTGGGGTCGATAAATTCAGCAAAAGTGAGAAATACAGTACAGCAGAGGATGACGAAAAATACGTGCAATTGCAATCATATTACACTTGTCTCTCTGAAGGTTTTAAAACACCAAAAACGCATTAAGTACCATACTTGCATTGAGCTATCTAAGAAAATGAACTTTATCTTTACAATAACCTCAAACAATACAGTTGATTTGTACATTTTTTGAATAACCAAGCAATCGTGAATCCAAAATGCCGAAATTTTTCATGAAAGACATTGCCATTAATTACATAAAACTAGATGTATCGACAATTTAAATGTATTAGTATCATCAACTTAAATTAAAGTTAAATAGTACTAACTATAACAATCTTACATTTGAACAAACCACACGATTACTTTCGTTTTCACAGTTGACGAAAGAACATCTATTGTTCCCTCCACACTTTTCACATTTGATGAAGTTTGATTTCTCTTCAGTATCTATGCTGTTCCCTGAAAAGAATAATGCATTTACATAGAGTAGAAGAATATGTTAGATTATACATTTATTAACTAAGTTCGAGGGCAACATGCGATTTGTCGGACCCAAGAACCAAACTGTCTGCCTGAGGTCGTAAGGCCAAAGACAGAGAGTTTGGTCCGAGGGTCGACAAAACGCATTTTGCCCGAGAACACAGTCAATAAATGTCTTGTTATACCTTTCATTTTTATTTTTTTAACATACATGTGTTTTATACTGTCTTCCGTGATCGTGATGTAACATAAGGACCGTCACTTTTGAAGACCAACGAATAAAAATGAGATTAAGCTCCGCCCATTCTGTGACGTAAGCGGTCCAATATCGATTTTTTAAGCCCACTCAACAAAACATTAGAAATGTTCAGGTTTTTTTCGTATAGATTTTTATAGGAACAAATCTTAAAAGTATAAAAAAGAGATACTAGTAATCCTAAAGAGACAGTATGTTTATCTACTACGTTAGCCTAAGTTTTGAGAAACTTTAATATTAACGTCTTAAGAAGTGAAAGCATAATTGTTTGCATAAAAGGTATCCAACCTCCAGAAACAGAACATTTAAAAAAAATGCTATAATCTGTATTTATGAAAGCAAATGTGTTTATTAGTTTCTTTAAATCAAAAATTGCAATGAACGAAAATTTACTTTGCTTTCTAAGTTTTCTAAAGAAATTAAAGAGGTTGAGAATTCATACTTGTATGTGAACGAACATGTATTATACGTCACCAGTTTCAGTGGGGAAATTATCGAAATTCCTCGCATATTACGTCATCAATTTTAGTTTTACAAACATTCATGTGTGAAAACATTGATGTTATACATCATTCCAGATGTTTACTTTCATGAGCACTTATTCATATCATGTTTTGTTAACTAACGCACATGATAAAACTTTTAAAAGGTTGTTCCAGAGACACCGTTCGCTGTGTACACGTACATATTACACGTCTAATAGTATATTCACAAGTACACGTACGCGTAAAATACAGAGGTTTAGTTACACGTTTTGCGACGAACTTGTACGGTCGACGCCATCAATTGTTGTGTTCTTTGAAATCATGACGTCAACTCCGACGTGTAGCTACGAGTTTAGAACGCGTAATACACTATCTACACGTACGACATAAACGAGTAAAGTCGTCGATTAAATTCTTTATTTCTTGATCAGTTGATTGATCTGTAAGCAATAAAACATGAACAATATTTAATTTTGTAATCAATCGCGATTCAATGATTCCGTCAAAGTCTTTGCATTTTTATCAATGAAAGTTAAAACTGATATCAAGCAGTATGTTTACTTTGTACGCAGTTTTCATTTGAAGAAGACCCCGCCCGTGCACCCAGTGAAAATCCTCGGTGTTGATTGTTTTCCTTAATATCATTTTTCATTCAAACCCATTCTAACACCTATATATTTTTTCTTCCAAATAAAATATTTTCTATAAAATAACACCACAGGCAATAGACATAACAAAAATATAACCCCTCATCTACAATATTTGTAGTATGTTTTAAAATAGAAAAAAATATAATGTTATGTCAAGTGCTCGTTCAGATTGTGTCTAATAATTGACTATTTTACCTTTTTATAATAGCCATTGTGAACAGCAAACTCGTAAAAGAAAAAAGGGAGGCCAGGGGGTATTTAACTCTTTACCAAAGAAAAAAAAATATGAAAAACATTTCGATCCAATTTTGTCTTCCCGCTGTCAAATGAAAAATATGCTCTTTAGTCCATTGTCAAAACAGCTGTTGAAAGACCCGTTTCTAAGGAAAATTCAAACACTCAAGTATTTTATAATAAACTACGATACATTTCTTTTCTCAATATTGTCTCATAATGAATAGATGGCCAGGAGTCTTGTTTGAATTACAATGTTACAATGATTCACCCTCTGTCTGATCTTAAAAAGACCAGTATTATTACTATAACTCACACGCATAGAACATTAAACAGCATATTACATGTATATCAAATGAAAGTTTGAAAGGTTTCATGACAACTGTGCATGTAACAATGATCACATTAACACATTAAGATTTTTTTAATAAAAGCATCAAATTAATTGATGTTGAGCTAACTGAAACTTTTATATGAAAATCGAATATGAAGATCATATGTCTTTTTTTACAACAAAAGTATAATACAGGGACATATATAGTTGCTATGGCAACCAGTAAAACTTACTTAAAAACTAAAATTCTGGATTAATATGTGATACACGTAGATTGATCCAAGTTCAAGTTTTCCAACATTTTTCCAGCATTTCCAAAAAATATATATAAAACAAGATAATCTATCTTGAAATATTTCTGATGTTGCCATGGCAACGATTTTGAAAGTCAATTATTTTGGATTTAAGAAAAAACACAACTTTTGTTTTTTAGTATTTTTTTCTTTAAGTTCAAATTCACACTAAACTTGATTGAGATGAAATCTGTCTCTGCATTTTTCTTTAATTAATTCTCAAAAATGTATAAGAATGCAATTTTCCAATAATGATCAATTAAGCAAGACATTGATATTTTAGTGACTAAATTAGATACAATGATGATAGACAAGTGTAAATAACTTGCATAATTTTTCTTGCTCTCAGTTTTGTTCTTTAGCAGATTTTTCCGGGTTTTTCATTATTTTTGTTCAAGAAATGTCAAAAACAGTGCTATGAGAGGCGTTCTGGAGGCCATATTAAGCCATGTGTGGTTACTATGGTATCGGCACCCCAATAATTTTTTTTGCTAAATTTCAAGAAAGGGTGTTGCATAAGTAATAAATATAAAATTTGATCAAAATCGGTGGTATCACCTTTCCACCGATTATTGAGAAATTTTGGTTCTTAAAGCTGAACACGACTCGTAAATAGGCATACGCCATTTCGATAGCATTATCTACGATACATCAATACTAGGGTATACTCGTCGCATTCGTTACACCTGACTGCTTTATTGTCACGTGTATCGGCGTGGAATGGCGACCCGTGTTCGTGCTCGTTATCTTGCATTATCTTTGTTTATATTTTATCGCAGTTACGTTTATCTGTGTTGTCTGTATACTGCACTGACTTATACAACTATAATTGTAAACTTATTTGGTATCTTATTTTCCTGCATTAAACGAAGTATTACGTTATTATTCTCGCTACCGAGTTCTGTATAGGATACGTCCGTCTCCTCCAGTGTCGACTGATTACACTGAACAGTGACCAAGTTCTGCCCTATTTATAGGGGTCTGCAGGGTAGCGAGACTCGGGAACAAAAATGGCGGACAGATTCCTTTTACGAATCGTGTTCAGCTTTAAAGAGAATCTTATAGAGAATGGCTCCTAAAGCAATATGTTTGGTTTGTATATCTCGGGCCCTTGCAATTTGATATGTTTTGTAAAATATTTGGTTATAATATTAATGGATTGAATTCCAACTAATAATGTGCACTAAACAAAAAAAATTGGCGAACAACAAACTCGGACCTCCAAAACATCAGAAATTGGATTAGATGCCATATATCACTGTCAGTATTTTACTCTGTTCTTACAAAGAATTCAGACTCAACTATATTTTTATATTCTCGTGCGAAACCCACTGTGACGTCACAACTTTCGTATTTTTGCACTTTTCATCTTATTAAGCAAAAAAAGTCATTGCAAGTTAATGGGTATTTTATTAAACGTCTTTTGTGGAGAGCATCAGACGCTAGATCGAGTTCATCATTAAATGTTTTGATTTCATATACTTGTAAAGCACATTCAGAAATACTATCTAATTAAAAAAAATCATTTTCTGCAAAAAATATTGTACACCTCAAATTAAATACACTTACAATATTCCCCTCAATGAACAAATTAAAATGATTCAATTAATAGCTATGCCTAAAAATGTTTGCATTGTGTTACTACATGTGTATCTCTCTCAATGATGATTTGTACAAAATGATTTGTAAAACGATAAAAAGGATACAACAGCAGCCAACTGAAGTATAACTCAAAGGTCTTAAAAGTCACTAAATGTCACGGCTATACCATTTAATCACACTTCTGTGAAATTTCAGTTACTTTTCAGTCAATTGACTCCCATATAACAATATAATTGTGTGTTCTCCTTGACCTAAGAAGGCTTGGGTATAAAAAAAAGATAACCTGTTGGATTAAAATCAGATCAAACCTTAAATTATTGATGAGACATATACTAAATATATAGAAATTGGCTAAACTGTTCAAAGCATGTTGATTTAACAAAGCTTTGTTTTATATTAAGGTTAACTAAGAAATCTTGAAAACAAAAGATTACCTTGATCCATTCTTTGAAAAATTTGTCTTGCAGCTCCGATCCATGAAGGGCTAGACAAACTTTCATTAATTTTCTTACAGGCTTTTGAGGCATTTAATAATGGAAGATTTCCAAGAAGATAACCAGAATGATCATCTTTACATACTTTCATTGAGTTTTCCCAAGACTCATATGATTTGTTGTTAATCAAATTTGAAGAATCTATGAAAAAATAAACAGAACAATAGAAATGGCATTTCTGCTGTATTTGTAGTTGTTAAAATGTTTCACACGGATAAATAAATCTGTTAACATTTCAATAATGTCTTTCTCTTTTTCTCTTTTAAAGTCAAACTTCTTCCATAAAGTATCTTCATTGACATCTCAAACGCATTTTAGAGGGGAAACGGACACAAGCTCAAGGTTAAAAGACGTCGTTGTCTCTGGCAATGTGGATACAAACTTCATAAATACATGATATAATATTTAATTCAACATTTCATATCTGAAATCTTAAGGAGGAATGCCACACCAACTTTTTCATTTTATAGATCTCTGGGTCAACCTTTTTAAACAATGCGCAGTTGAGATAAGGCTGTCCGAAGGCTTAAAATGCCTTGAATATATACATTTTATTCAGAGCTAGATTTTAATTTTAATATGTAATCCTTGTTTGTTTGCAGACAACTTGAGATAAAAGTTAAATCAGGTTTTATTTTAAAGCATTTATGTGATGTCACATTACTGTGTTGATGACGTGACGGGGATTTATAAAATTTCTAATTGTTGCACAAAATTATAAAAATATTATACAAAGTTTGTTACATAGATCAATTCACCGTGATTTCTAGTACATAGAACGTGCTGGGGGCAGGTTTAATTTTTACTCGTTTAGAAAATATTTTACGAGAAATTAAACTTACCAACATAAGAAGGGATATTTTCCACTCTTTATTGCGATTTATACAAAAATGGATAAACTACACACAATCCCCCAGCAATATTCAATTAGAGGACATACATGTACTTTTCTTCTAGATTCACGCAGAATATCTTCAATTTATCCTTGTCTTTCACTTGTGCCAGCCCAATATAAACACGATTCATAAATTCTAACTCTGTCTACGGCCGTGTAAGGGGAGCGTTACACACTTCATTTTTTACTATTGTCTGAATATGTGCATATCGGACAAACAAAAGGAATAAGGATATTTAAATTTCAAATTCAAGTGTTCAACATTATAACAGCACACTCGAGCTGAAAAATAATCCTAACACTTAAATTAAACAAGTCCCCAAAATAAATCTACATTCCATGTAAAAATTATGGCACTTTTCCCGTCATGTCAGCTCAAGTATGCAGTGACTTGACGTCATATTCTATTATGACGTCATATCTAGGTAGTTCAGAAAAGTTACGACAAATTGAACAGTTTGATATTTTACGGACAGCCTTATCCTAGCTGGTTGGTCTCAGCATCAAAAGGCCGACATTAGCTCTGTTATTTTATATGATTTTTTTGTATTTTTCAAAGAAAATTAAAAAAAAATATTTCTATCAAAATAAGACGCTTTTTTGTAAAAATTTCACTGTAAAAGAATGCATCACATTAATATCTAGTAAAATATGTGAAGAAAAGCGGTATAGATTTTAAAATTTGTTGAATAAAAAAATATTTATGAAAATAAAACACATAATTTGTGAATATTCTTTAAATTTGTGGTTAAAATTTTCTTAAAAACAGTCACAACTGGGGAGAACTTGTTCGTTAATCATATTTATAAAAGAAATTGAAACAAAAAAGCGAAATTTTCGAGAATGTTTGTTATTTTGGCCAATCCCGATAAAAAAAATAAACTGATTCCGACCATAATTGTACAATTATTGGAATTAAATACCATTTCCACAAGAATACTAGTCTGACCGGTGTAATAAGGGTTAAAATATTATTAAACTTGACACTTAAATAGATTTCGTTATGGTCAATACATGAAGAGGCAATAAATTAGTAGTTCATTCATTTTGTGTTAATTTTGAAATTAAATAAAATGGTTTGGTAATGTCAGCTGTTGTGGGCTGTACATCTTAAAATTGTGAAAATTATGCTAAATTAGTAATTATATATACAGAATGAAAAATTACATTATTTGCCTAAGGTTCCTTTTCCCATTTTAACTCCGCATAAAAAACATTGTTTAACGCCGTCTCTTTTTTTAGGTGATGTATCCTACACCCCTATTTGACCTGATTTATATAAAATAGTAAAATATACACGTTTCTTATAACTTTTAGCCATAACGGAAAATAAAAGAACAATTATTTTTACATAAACACAATCATGTTTTATATTTCATATTTTTGAAGGTGAGATTGGAAAAGAGGGCGAGGTGGAGGGGATATATACTTCCAACTTGGCAAACTCCATGTAAACTGCTGGTGCAATTTATACAGAAATACTCTGTATTATCCGGTTTAATGCACTGTATAGCTAAACAATCACCCGGAAAATATTCCTTGGAACAATCGATATCTGCAAAAGAAACGCTTTACATTAATGTCATGTAAAGTTTTAGGGGGTTATTAATGTCATTTAAAATTTTAGAGAGTGGAGATTGTTTTTTAGATTTTTAGATAATTTATATATTTTTTTTCATTTTATAATAAGTTTACCTGTTTTCCCTTTATTAACCAATTGATGTATCATACGTGAAGCTCAAGTATGGTAATAGCCCATTTTTCCTTTCATTTGATGTAAGAATCACAAACAGTGATTATCGTCAAAGTATGCAGTAAAGAATTTAAAATGTTGATTGTTTTAAAACCAACAATGAATTTGATTTAACGACAAAGGGGAATCCACAATCATATGAGGCTGTCAAAGTTTTACTTTTTACTAATTTTCCTTAATTCTAATAACATTTTGTAAAGTTTGAAATATTTTTCAATTCGATAAACATGGAGCACAACTTTGCCTGTCTGAGATTGTAATACATAAACATGTGCCGTTAGCGCATGATATATACAAATGGTGTATAGGCAAGCTTGTGCATCAGTGGAAAATTGATGAAAAGTTGCATCAATATAGAAAATTGATCGATAGATTTCCGCAGTTTATTTTGATCTTTGTGAACCAAATAACTCATAAACAATGAACAATTTATACACAAAAGATGGCAACGGGTCTGTAATGATTATTTTGATCCATTATAATGTTCCAGATGAAGACAAACAAAAAAAAAATTTCTTTGAAGAATATATTCATTTGCATTTACGTCATTTTTATACATGATGTCTTTTACATAAATTATAGCACACCAATTAGAATTTAAGTTGAATACAAAGAATGCAGAAACTCGAGGCATGCAATTCTTTATTATATACCTAATGTGTATCAATCAATTTTACTATAGATTTAACGCTATCACTTGACGTCGTGATCCGACTTTTCGGATCACCACACTGTGGTTTTCTGAATCCATATCACCAATCTCTGAAACTGAGGACGTAGTACGCAAAAACATGACGTTATTTTTCTTGCACGTTTAAAAATCCCTTGTTATTATGCTTTGTTAAATGGATTAATTTTACACAATTGATATTTTTTAAGATTTCTTTAATATATTTAGCAAGTAATAAGGGAGTATATAATAAATTTATCATTATAACAGTAACTTTATCCAAAGGGACGCTTCGCGTCTCGTTTGATCTGATGATCCCCGCCTGTCAACTCGACGTGATACGACCCTTCGGATCAAGTAACTGTTATAATAATATATTTATTTATTTCCATTTATAGAATTAAGTAAGATATTGATGTCAGATTCAACACTATAGATACACGATAGATTATTTCGTAGATCTGAACATATTCAATCAAAAACAAACCTTTAAGTATTCATATAAAATCAGGTGGTCCATAATCTCAGAGAGATTGAATGTCTCTATAACTTTAAGAGACATTGAATTACGTTATGTGCATAAAAACTATTTCTAATTGCAGTGTTTTTACGATCATATTTACCTTTCTTAGATTTAAATACATTGAATGCATTTACACCACCACATTCTTTCGTGAATTTGCTGTCGATATGGTTTGCACAAGTGAAATTACATTCACTGGCATTTCTGCCATTTCTTTGTACCCGTCTCCTTAAGCAGAGGCATGTTCTATTCTGTTAAAAATCAGGCAAACATATATATCCTTTTGATTCATCAAAATGCTATTATCATGCTATCCTTAAGTCAGAGATGAACGATCTATATCATAATTTAGACCATTTCTGGTATAGTAGTGACAAACTATGTATACATTTATTAATTCTATAGTCATTATATACTGTAGATCAATACATTTTCGCGACACCTTATTTTCGCGAGATAGTCATTGACTCTTGCTAAGCGAGACAACATTTTCACGAATTGTGGTTATTGCTCTATATATTCTTGAGGAATGCTATTATACGCGAGAATTTATTTTTCGCAAGCACACTGTCTCGCGTAATTGCGCGAAAATAAAGCTCTCGCGAATAAAAAAGTGATTTACAGTACTGTGATATTATAGCAATGCAATGAAATTTTGTGGAGATAAAAAGTGTATATATGAAGTGTGTTTATTAAATAATCTACAAATAATCTACACAAATTAGTTAATTTTCCCTTACTGTGACTAAGAGAACTACAGGCACAAAGTGGAACAAACCTTAACACCCATTTCAGAACCCCCAAACAAATACAAGGGGTTACAGTGGCTGGAACGTTATTGTTGACAAAACAATCGTGTAGAATCGTTCGTGTATCGTGCGTGATCGTTCGTGTATCAGACTCAATCGTGTGTGTTTTTAATCGTGCGAGATCGTGCGTTTAGAATCGTGTAAATTTCGTTTTGTAAGTTTTTATTGAAATGTTATTTGTAAAATAAGCATTTCCCTTGTTTGTTTTTCTTAATTTATTAATTAAGATCCAAATAAAATGAAAAAGCGCAATTTACATAATAGAATGCAGAACGAACTAATTATCGCCCGTAAACAAGCAATATAGTAAGTCGTACAATATTAAGTTCTCGTCAAATAGCGCGATCAGTATTGTGATAAACCGTACTTAGATCTTTAACGCCTTTTTGAAAAATCTGATTTTAATTATTATTTACTTCTTATTGTGGTCAAGATAATCTTGAAATCAATTCATTGAAAATAAATATATATTTTTTTTACAAAGAAATAAACATTTCTCAATGCTTACATAACTAGTTAGTCGACAAATATACATGGACACGGAATGATTTTCGGGAGTTTTGATTATCTGTGTTTATCTCTTGAGCCTATTTGTAATTAATTAATTTTAAATTTCTCCAAATAAAAAAGTTGAATAATTGTCAAGTTTATCAGACATTGAATCATTGGAAACATAAGGATAAAATTTGTAAATATAAACTATTTAAGTCATTCCATGCTGCCATTTTTGTTCAATCGTATCCCCCTTTCTGCATATCATGATATCCATTTCAATCAAATTATACGACCCACAAACATGTACATCGTCTGATAGAACGAACAAAATCCGGTTTTTTTTTTTGATCGGAGAATTACCTTAGAAATAATTATTTTTAATCTAAAATATTAAGTCTTGCATATATTTAGTTACAGAAATATCATTTTCCCTTTTTTTCTTCAAAGTCTATGAAATAATATTGATAATTCTTTGAAATCTTAAAAAGTATTAAGCCGTATTTCGTTTTGAAAATATTGAATCCTAAATATTTTGAACTATTTTGAGTGAAGAATCGTGCGTTTGCGTTCACAATCGTGTAAGATCGTGTAACGTATAGAATCGTGAACGTGAAAGATCGTTCGTGTAACAGGTTTAATCGTGCGTTAATCGTGCGGAATCGTTCGTGTAACGTGATCGTTCGTGTAAGTTGTCAACAATAACGTTCCAGCCACTGTAACAAAAAGTTCGTTGACTAGCGTCATAAAATTAACACTGCTGTAGGCACATCACTCAATTTTAAAATACATTGTATCTACCGGTAGTTAGAATCATCTTTTCTATCTTAAGAATAAACCATAAATAATAAATTTTATTTTTTATTAATTTGGTCATGTTTTTGTAAGCAATGTTATGCCCAGGCGGCGCAACCTCGAACACGCCGTTTTTGCGACCTATGTGTAACTGAGAAAAACTCTTTTGATCTGATTATCTGACATCCCAACTTCCCATTAATTTGGGTACATGTACGTTTCGGGACACAATTGTTCCATAAAATATGAAATTTTCACTTCATTCTGGAAGTTCTATGAAATTTTATCGTAAATTTTACACGGAATGTCAAAAATGAGGCATTGGAAATGACCTCAAAAGGGGGAGGGGTTTCCGTTTCAAACATTCTTTAAATTTTTGCCTTTGATAAAACTGGTATAGACCTACATGTACATTAAACAGTTGAAACAGGCTACAGAGAAATAATATGCATCCAGAGTACTTATCTTTTAATGTCAAAATAGATTCAGAGAGAAAAGGGATACACAGTTAATGTCAATTTTCAGTCAAGATGTGAAAAATCAATCACGTCAAAAAATGACGTTGATCATGTGTTGTAGATATTGAACTCCCAAAAGCAAAATATGCCTACACAATCAAGCGCGGATCTCTGCCAATGTATTAATCCATTTTGAATATTATATTCATTGAAGGCCACTGTTCATGACATTGTAAAGTCATATAAACAAGGCGGGTTAAAGTCCTTACTCAGCTCCAGGGAATCTCATCAAAAAAATCTACGAGGTAGAAGTGGACATTGAAAAAATAGTGACGTTATCGGACGTCATGAAAATAAACGACGACAGCACCGGGTGATCATATAATGTTGTTCTCATTTTATAATCAAAAATAATGAACGTATCAGGCTAAATTTTTCAACATTTCTTTATTTTTTGTTGTTTAATGTTCCATTTAAATTTTGAAAGCACAGACTACATAGTACTACTTCTATAGCCTCAGTCTACGAACTTTTTGATAACCTCTTGTATATAGAGAGAGTTTTTAAACTAACCTTTATTGCAAATATAGTTTTTTTTGACTTCATGCACATTCCTTGACAAAATCCGGCAGTAATGTTTTCCATGGTTATATTTTCATCTGCGTATTTTAAAACGTCCGTGTCCTCGAAACAACCTTTATATGATAAAAAAAACTTCATAATTCTCAGCAATTTATGAGATATGGTTGAAATCGATATATTAGAACAAGCTTTTACTAAACAAATTATATTTTGCAATGAACTTATTTTTCTACGAATATCCCCAAAAACAAATTCAAAAGTGTATTGAGATAATCATTTCATTCAAGCATAGTATTTTCCAATGCGTCTTCATGCAAGGAAGTTTATTTTATTTTCCTTTTTTAAATTCTATTTTCTATTTTTATTTATAGATTTGGTCTGCTGAAATTCCATTTGATTTGAGCATGAGTTTTAAAATTGAGACTAGTTTGCTGGCGTGCATATAAAGGTTATGACGAATGAACGCATTTACATGTAAAACAGTGGTTTTGTATATTTACAAGGTATACCTTTACTCTGATCACCAAAAATCCACTGATAAGAACGAAAAATCACCTATTGCACATTGAATACCTATGATTCTTAAATTTCAAAGAAATAGAGCAATGACCTATTTTTCATGCTAGTGGCCTCTGAGTATTTTTCTGTATTGACGAAAAGACGTATACCATTTACAAGTATTGTGTCACAGACAAATTGTGACGAAAGTTTTTGACTTGAGAAATCTGAACTTACACACGATATTTTGCTTAAAAAGTATTATAAAAGAGAACACATACATTTTTTAAACTTTGCAAAAAAAAATGAAAAAACCAATAATAATTAATTTTACCAAGCAGTTTTATCCAGTGTGATATCCGCTGATAACGACCTGTCCAGTAACTCGGTCCCTGTACTGAAGTATGTATCGTCAGTGTTGAGTTTGCGCTTTTACAATAATTTTGAGCGTCGAACCAATTCCATCGCGCAGAAGGCGAACCTAATTAAAAAAAAATAATTCGATATAAATTTATTCATAAACAAGAAATATCATTAATAGATATTATTTAGTAAAGTAATAAAAATGACGTTTTCTAGCGATTGTGTCACATTTTTTTCTTTCATAGCAATATAACAACCTTTTTTTGCTAATAATTTATACCTCCAGGCCTAAATACTCTATGTTTAATTTATTTTAGTTTCAGATTTCAGTTTAGCGTGAGGAAATGACATTTCGTTAATTTAACATGTTTTCAAATTGATTTACATAGAACTTTTCCTTATTTCAATCCTCTTGAAATTGACGAATCGGAGGTTTAATTGATAGCTTTTGTCCTGTGTGTCTAGCTGTTTGTCGTTTTATTGTCTGTTCGCATGTTTGCCTCTCTGAAACCCTCGAACGTTGTCCATAACTTTTGAGTGGGTGAGACTTTGTCTTTAATACTTCATAGGTATAATTTCTTATTGAAAGATCTTTCTTAGGATATTAATTAGTTTTACCTCTTGGCCTTCGTGTTTAACACACATGCACATTTACCAATCTTTACCACACAATTATCTTGGTCATAATACTTTAAAAGTTGAAGCTCAGGGATTCATACTTTGCAAGTCTATTCATTGTGACAAGACATTCGCTACAATACGGGGGTAGTTTCAGTGTTTCTCAAACAGATGTTATGTTTGATGAAAACACTTGGAAAATTGTTAAGTAATGTAATTTGTAATCACAACTAATCAGGGCAACGCTATTCTGAGAAAAATCAAAGCTCTAAACAATGTCTAATGTAAACACAATAACAAAAATTAATAAAACGTTAATAAACTTACCCTTGTTTGAAGCTACAAGCATCGCTAACACATAAGCAATTTTAGAAATTGGTATGTAGTCCATCGTCTTCCAATGATTCATATATATAACATGTAAAGAAAAAAATTAATCAATGCTAATTATTCTTTTTTTTCCCTTTTCATTATTTCTTATATCGGCATAAACAGTTCCGACTATATTTATACTGAGAAAATATACAAATGTATAGGGATTAATCAATTTTTTTTTTTTTTTTTTTTTTACATTTTGTTTTGTTAGTGTTTTATATTGCATGAACTGTTACAATGTAAATGTGACTTACGTGTACTTAACTACATATTAATTAAAACTTTAGAACCATGTCTCCCACTGGAAAACCCGTTACATATACATACAAAGGATGTTCAATAACTAATGTCCTTTGGTCTTTTCACAAAAAAAAAATCTTATGACTAAGACCAAAATGTCACCACTCAGCAATGTTTTATCTAATGAAAATATTTTTTTTCTGATTAATTAATAACAATTCAATCATAAGATATCAATATATGAAGTGATAGAAAAAAGGATTTTCACAGCTAAGTTATCTGTCTAAAAATTGAGGGGAAATTTGGTCTTCGGGTAAGATTCTTTGTGAAAAGGGCCACTTAATTTTATAACATACAACACAAATATCATATAACTTTTAGACTGAGTATCTCTCTTATGATTGAATCTTTAATGAATTGATTTAAGGAATCACTGTCTAGTTTTGAGAGTATGCCAGGGCATCAACAATAGTGGGAAACAAGGGATAATTTGCATAACGGGCGAAACCCGTTATGCTAAAATTATCCCATGTTTCCCACTATTGTTGATGTCCCTGGCATACTCTCAAAACTAGACAGTGAATCCTTATATTTCCATTTCATTGTGAAATAAAATTGTAGACTTAGACATTAAAAATGTAGACTAATAGATTTAAATTACACGAGGACTTCCATGCCAATTTCAATAGTCCTTGCACACTGACGTCAAACACAAAGGCAACCGCACGAGATTTACATGCATATTTGGCCTCCTTAGCGTCAGACACAGAGACAGATGCGCACGAGATTTTCATGCGTATTAGGCCTCCGTAGCTGCTAACCTATCGACCTGCCTAATTTACATTCCGGCAGAATTATCAAGAAATAAATTTCCCACACTTTCAAACAGTTATCACAGAGAAAAAATTAGAAATGGAAATATATCAGTTTATGTGACCCCTTTCTATTTCATATTTTCATTGTGAGAAGCTGGAAAACAAAGGATATTTGAGAGACTGCTTTAGAAATGAATAGTTAAGAATCAGAAAACTAGAGTAAAATTGAACGCTTCTTTAAAACTATTGTAAATCTTGTTAACAATCCAAAAGAAATATCCACTGAAATTTTTAAGATTTACAGCAACCAATGTCTATATTATAGATATTGAGCATGTAGATTTCAATTAACAATAATGTTAAAATGGGCATAAAAAATGGGCACTGTTTTAGAATATCTTAACATTTTTTAGCACAATTCATTTCATACAGAACATTCATAATTAATCGTTGTGACATAATTGTTTATTTTTACTCATAAGAGAGAGAGAGAGAGAGAGAGAGAGAGAGAGAGAGAGAGAATTACAAAAAAGTTGGCTCCATCTGTTCCACTGAGTGTCAAATTTTTCTTTTTCATCAATTTTATTTGATATATATTTTTGTGTTTGCTAAAATTGATGTCAACTTCATCGACTATAAAAAGCATTCAACAACGTGGACCGACAGACATTGTGGAAGATACTGAGGCACTATGGAGTACCAGAGAAGCTGGTTTTCCTGATTCGGAACACCTACCAAGGCATGATATGCAGAGTTACCCATGCTGGCCAGATGTCTGAGAGTTTCGAGGTCAAGACAGGAGTCCGACAAGGTTGCTTGCTGTCACCATTTCTTTTTCTCTTGGTCATTGATTGGATCATGAGGACAACCACAGCAGGCAGGAACAATGGCATACAGTGGACACTCCTGAAGCAAATCCACGATCTGGATTTTTCAGATGACCCGGCTATCCTTTCACATAACTAAAGCCAGTTGCAGCATTAAACAAATCACCTTGTAACATCGGTAGAAACGAGCCTCAAATCAACTTGAAGAAAACAGAATTGATAAAGATAAACTCCACTGTCCAAAAACCAGTCACAGTTGGTGGTGAGCCCATCAAAGAAGTTGAGTCCTTCATCTTCCTGGGAAGTGTGGCGAACAGACACAGTGGCACAGACCGCGACATCAAGTCAAGAATTAGAAAGGTAAGAACTGCATTCACCATTTCAAAGAACTGCGCATACGTATTACCCCCAAACAGCGGATCCTCAACTCTAATGTAAAGTCCGTCCTATTGTATGGTGCAGAGACGTGGAGGATGACTAAAGCTACCCTGCAGAATATCCAGACATTTTACAACACCTGTCTCAGGCGCATCTTTAACATCCGATGGCCTGAAAGGATCTCAAACGAAGAACTATTGATGAGAGCTGGACAGGAACCAATGGAGTAACAAATAAGACAGAGGAAGTGGGGCTGGATTGGACACACACTAAGGAAGTCACCATCTACATATAGCATCACCTGAGTTGGAACCCACAGGGCGAAAGAAAAAGAGAACGTCCTAGAAACACCTGGAGGCGTAACTCGGAGTCAGAGTTAAGGACACAGGATATGACCTGGGATGATGCAGCTAGAGCAGCTCAGAATCGTGTTCGTTGGAGGACTGTCGTGGATAGCCTATGTTCCTCACGAAACGACAGGCCTAGGTAAGTAAGTTAAATTGATTCAAGTGTGATATCGACGAGTGCACAATTAGAAGTTTTTCGATACATCTAGAAGTATACATATGATATTTTATCCATAAAGTTTTGATATTCGCCATTTCATGTTTTTTTTCCTTTCATGCCTAATATTTTTTATGTGCAATTGGAGATTCTCTGCTTAAGATGTGCTCAAAATTTCAAGGCGTTATTGTACAAAGTCACATTCACTTAGATATGTTCAATTGTCTCTTTCTCTCCTTGACAAAAATAACACTGCTTAGAATTTACCTTTCTGATTTTGAATAAAAATGAATTAGTCGCCAATTTTTTAGTTAAAAGTCTGAACTGAAACCATTGGAGTTAAAAAATGTTCGTAATTTAAAATTGTAAATTTTAATGTTTTTTTTTTTTAATCAGAAATTGTAATTCTTGACTTTTGCCAGAAATTTAAACTGATAATGAAACATGAATACAATGCTTTAAAACCTCAAAACAAATCTAAAATAAATGCACGTGACAAAAACAGCGAAGGTTTAGAAAAAGCAAAGAATTCAAAGAAAGACAAAGACAGTTTTATATGCCTTTTTTTAAATATTAGTAGTCTTTTTGTTCGAATTCTTATTTGGGAAGGAACTGGAATTTCTGGAGGAGTCAAGAAAACAAATTTTTTTGCGAAAAATGGAAATGTTTATTAGAGGAAGGAACCAGAATCAGGAATCCACTACATATTTTTTTTCAAGAGAGCGTCCAAAAACATATTCCCTAAAAAAATATTGTGTGTTGTTTATAGTCCCTTTTGAGAATTTTTCATTTTTATGGAGACGCCATCCCTTGCCGTTGGAAAGCTGCAAATTTTGTCCTATACTCGGCACTCAGGGCCATTGAGCAGGGAGGGATCTTTTCAGCACCTACTGCGACACGGGACCTCGGTTTATACTGTCTCATCTTAAGGACTGGTCTCCACGTACCACAGTGAGATTCGACTCCTTACTCTGCGACTTTAGAGCACGCGCAATAACCACTGCACGGGCGAGTATTCCCCGAAGATTAAAGGTATGTTGGATATAAACAGATAGTCAATGTGTTTTCACCAGACCTGTCACCCTTTGATTCTCTTAAATCAAATAAAAAATCCTTTTAGAAAACAAGTCCAGGAAATCATACATGTAGTATCTGCCCTATTCCAACATACGAAGGGTCATACTCAAAAGTAAGAAATTAGATAAAAATGTTACAGACATGTGTTTTATAAAAAAGGGAATATTTAAGTTATATCATTAAGACTAAATCATTGAAAAATGATTTATTTCTTTCTAAGCACCGAGTACATTATCTATTGAACAGCCCTCTTACTATAAGATTTCAATATCTGGAATATAAAAGAAGTAATGGAAAATGAATGTATGTTAGGCCTTGTTGAATAGTGTAATCAAAAATCATCGTATTCATCTTAAAATAGCATTGTAATACGTTTATGTAATGTCTGTCTTAGAGAGAGAGAGAGGCAATTTTATCCTCCTAGCTTAAAATCGTTTAGTTTTTTTTAAAATATATTAAAATTAAACAGTGCACATTTCATATGACATAAACAACCCATATCCTTGTCAGAGTCACTTATGCAATAAATATAACTATTAACATTTCAGATCAAATGGGTTCAAAGATAATATTTTAAAAGTATTATGGTAATGTTAATTTAGACCTATAAATGAGACCTACGATAATGTTTTTTCCTTTATCGATATAAATTACGGAAGTGTTTTATGCGTTCTTCTCAAGGCCTTTGTGTGAATTTTAAATCGCAATTTTTATTTCATCTTTTCACTTTAGGTCCTCCGAAGGTTTCTTGAACTTCACAATTATCAAATTTACCAAATACATATAAACCAAAGAAAAGAAAAAATATTCAGATATTTTTCGATCAAAAAGTCTATATAATTTTGTCGAAAGGAAATTAAGAGTTAGCTTTCTTTATTTAGATGTTTCTTAAGATGTTGCTTAACGGTGAATAATCATATAGAGAAAGATCTGCCTTGTCTGGTCATTCAAAAGATCAGTCATGGTGCTTTCAAACATTTCATTTTGAGACCATAAGATAACAAACATTTAAAAGGTCCCAAACTTAAAAATATTCTACTTTCACTTTAAATCGAACCTGGGTTACAACTTTCTTCAACGAATCGTTACAATTTGTATGTAGAAGAAGGATATGCAGACAACGAACAGTATTCAATCTCAAAGTCCATTAAACAATATACAAAATAAGAGCAGAGCAA